GCAGTGCTTGGGGTGCGGAACCCCGCGCGCGCGGGACGCCCCACGCACAGGCACCCCTCGGTGACTGTCTCCCAAAGAGCAGCTTCCACACGGGCCAGAGAGCTGCTCTCGGAGGTAAGTGGAAGGGAGCTGGTGCTTCCTGGAGCTGGCACGGGCTCCTGCTCGCTCAGGCTCCTCTCGAGCACGCCGGTGTCGGCGTCAGAGGGAGGCACTTCACTGATTTGTGTTTTTTTTTCCTTCGCCTCAAAGCTACCGCCTTCCACGTGCTCCCAGGAGAAATGGAGGTGACACTGTGTGCGGGAGGTGGAAGGAGATGCTTCTTGGCAAAAGACTGGAAATTAAATAGCAGTAAAGGCTGGAACTCCCTTCAAATTCATACCAGAATAGAAGCTCCCCTATTAATCATTAAACATCCAAGTTGAGGAAACAACACCCGGAGCGCCCACACTCACGCGTCTGCTCTCCCTGTGCTACCCCCCGCCCCCCTCACACAATATTTACAGGCTAACGCGCTGCAGCGCCCGCCGTCCTGCCCACACTCCTCTCCGCTGGCCTCCAGGAAGTCTCGTGTCGTCCCCCTTCGCCTGGGGCGGGCCCCAGCGTGTCGCGGGGTGAGAACAGAGGGCGGTTCGCAGCCTCGAAGGCAGTCAGTTAACCAAGATGCTTCCTGGGTGCCCAGGTGCCACCCGGAGCGCAGGAGGCAGCTGCAGGGAGCCCAGCGCCGTCCCGAGGGCGCAGGAAGCTCCGGAGCCCCGTGCGGGGCCGTCCCAGTGCCCAGGTGCCGCAGTCCCTACGTGGGGACGGCAGCCTCCAGGCTGCGCCGGCTGTGCCGCAGCTTGCGCTTGCTGCTGTACAGAGCCATTTCCTCAAGTGCTGATGCAGTTGGCGTTGATGAATCGTGTGTTAGTAACATTTCCTCGTCCTCTTGCTGCCCGTCCTGCTCCTGGAGAACTGTGTGGACACAAAAGTTGAGGTTTTAGGAGAAAGGGCTAGGTTAGGTAGCAGATCTAAGCATAGAGATACAGCCCCGCGGTGCCTCACATTTAACACGTAAGTCTTTCAGATGGCATTTAAGCCAATCCTGTGCCCTGTTGGTGTTTTCAGGTGTAGTGCACGTACTGATGTTACGGATTTTGAGAAGGAATTCACACGTCTGAGAAGATTTCCATCCCCAGCACGCAGGCCTCACTCAGGAAGTGCCAAGCCTTAGGAAACACAGGGATAGTGACAGGCCCCAGGGACATCCTCGTGCTCCAAGCACGGACGCAGTATTAGCAGAGCACCAAGCACTGACAGGCAGCGTGAGCAGCGCACGGGGCGCCGCGGTGAAGAGATGCCAGCACCTGGGCTGCGCTTCGTGTACAAGTTACACAGGTAAGTCTTTTTTTGTAAATTCTGAATTTCCCTTGTGCCTAAAGGAACTCACCAAAACACGATACTCTGTCAGGGCAGCCCCTCTGTTAGCTTTGTATCAGGCCCCTTGGGGATGTGAACTGCTTGTGAAATACCCTGTGGTTACAGGGGCTTTTCCCTTCCCAAAAGCAACGAGTGCCACTTATCCAGGAGCTTAGACCAGTACCTGGAACATCTACCTTTTGCAGTAGTGTGACCTGAGCAATGCCCGTGAGATACTTGGAAAAAATATCCAGTAAAGAAGGGAAGAAGGAAAAAGCTCCATTAAAATAACACATTTTTTCTCCTCAAATACCAACTGACTCCTCAGAAGCCCTTCTCCACATTTTTTTAATTTAATACAGAATATCAAATAATAAAAAAAAAAAATCTATGAAGACATATCAGAGCAGAGGTGCATTCTGCTGAGTGGCAGCAATCTCTCTGCTCCAGAAACAGACTCCAAAATGCCTCCCTCATTACAGGGCCCAAGCAGGACTATTTACTGTAGTCCAGGATTGTTCCTGAACTACTCCCTGTAGCGTAACTTGCTGTTTGAAAAGACCTCAGGACCAAAGGAACGTAGATGGCAAATCTGGGATCTTGAAAGGATACTAAGACTGATAGGATGACTGACTTCCAGATGAGGCACAGCAGTATAGAAGAAAAGCATACATGGACATGCAGATAAAAACACAGACTGGGGAGAGAGGGAGATGAAGACAGTTTCTCCAAGGGCAGGCAGGCAGGCCTCTGAACCCACTGCAAGCGGCCAACATGCGTGAAGCATCACCTCAAAGCAGCACCCTGCTCTCCCATGTTCCTCAGCTAACACTTCTAATGAAACAGGCTGCCAGGGGATAAGGTAGCACGGCTCTCCGCAGATTAATACTTAATTAAAGCACAGAAAAGGTGTAGGAAGAAACTCCTCTGTTTTAGAAGCAGGTTGTTATCTGCAGTACAGTCAGTGCTTGGTATGTAATGAGTGAGAGAAGGAAGGTGCCAGTGATCCCAAGTCGTGTATCTGGGCAGACAAATGAAAAATTACTACAAAAAACAGGTCATGAGGATTTTACAGAGTTGACTCGGCAATAACATGGCATTTGAAATATACTATACATGTATATAGATACAAGAAAGCAGTGAACAAATGAACTCTGAAATTACCAGCTTCTGACTTTAAAAAGTGCTGTAACACAAACTGCTGCAGTCTCAGGCAGTATTCTGGAAAGAACCACTTTATGTTTATCATCTTTGACTCTTTGTTCTTCCCCAGACTAATGCCAGACACAAAATACTGGGCTAGCCTGGATCTCTTTCCTTATGTTATTGGATGAAACTTGAGCTTGGTAAACTAACATAATCCTAACTGCATATAAAATGCAACATCCTTAAAATGAGATGACCCTTGCAGGGGGGCTTTATGCTAATATTGCCTGCAGCAAGCAGCAAGATATCCTTGGAGTGTCTGTTATAGCAGTTTTCTAACAAAAAGGTGAGCACTGCTAATGAGTTTGTCCTGTGGTCAAAAAGCCAAAGTTTCATGATCAGGGTCAGTTTTATTAAAACCCTAATGTGGTAAAGGGATTCAGAGAAGGAGTGTCACAGCAATTATAACAATTAGACATTTTTAAAGCTATATTAAATTCACATATAAGGGAAAGGCTCCATAGGAGCCCTGAATCCCTCAAAGCTTGGCAAGCATATCCAGGACGAGCTGTATAATTTAGGAAACACTAATTTATATTTGGCATTACTAAAGGGATGGGAACACAACAGTTTCTGGTGCAGACTCTATAACACATGTTGCAATGACTTGATTTACATCTGATTAGCTGTGGCATAGAGCAGAACTTTGTATTCTTGGCCACTAGGAAGGATGATGTTCACCTGGCTCCAAGCCCTGCAGAAACTGGTGCCTGAAATGCTTGGAGCTGCCCATGTACTTGGGGGTGGAGGGAGCTGAAACTTGAAAGCTTTGGCCTGTATCAAAATAGCCTAGCTGCATCCTCACCTGTTATCCTTACAGCCTGAATTTTGGACAACATGCATGCTTTTTGGTGCCTCACACATCACAGCCTCAAAGAGTGATCTAAGGCTTACCTAGCCTAAAGACTAGGTCAAAAAGTGCTTAATAGAGCATCATGCTCTTTTTTCATTTTTTTAACCACCTAAGAATTACTTTTATTCTCTTTTAGGACTGATGGATGACAGGCATCTGAGGAGGTCTGACGTCCCTGTGCAGGTGCTGATTAATTCCTGGTGCTTCTATAAACTCCCTAGTTATGCAGACTGACCGAACGGGCCAGCTCAGAGAAGAAACCCATGGCTGAGACCTACACCGACAGGTGAACACGATACTTTTCACATGAAAACGGGCTGTAGCACCTGCTTCTAGAAATGGCCAGCACAAGGATCAACTGCCTGGAGTGCAGCCTTTACTAAGGAGATTTACCACGAGAAAATCGAGGGAGAAACTGTCTCTTGTATACATTAAAGGTGAGTGTGGGGGGAATAGTTGCCAAGCAGGCAAAAAAAAGCAGTGCTAACTGTTGAAAGAAACAGAACTACTATTAGGGAGCAGGTCCTGCTGAGCTCCACACTGCTGTAACTACCACCCAGAGAAGCAGGAGACAGTCTGAGCTGCTTATTTTGTACTTGGATACAAGAAGACACAGCAGCCAGCACGGCCTGAGCAAGATTTCAGTGTTGCTTATTTGGTCTCCCTGCCACATGGGCTCATGAGGTCAGAGCTAGCGAGTCACCTGGGCACTCAGGCATCCAAACGCTCTGAAACCCTAAACCAGGAACAATTTATCTGCCATTACTTCTGCTAGGGCAAAGAATCTGCCTGCCCGCAGCATGGGCTCTGGGCAGGCCCTGTGCAAGGCGGGTTATTTACCTACTGCGGATGCCAGGGGCCAACACTTCCCCCCATGCTCGGCCCACTCTTTGCTCCGAAACAAAAAGCAGGAAGAAAGTCGGCATGCTGGTCACACATCAGCAGGTTAGTCACCACTAAAGCACACTGTAAAAGTCCTACCCAGAACTCAGTGTGGCGAGTTGGGAGCGTTCATTCTAGAACAGGAAAAAGAAATAAAAGGACATTGCCTCAAGCAGCAAGAAACTGGTGTCCTCCTTGCTGATTCCACAGGCAGGCAAAGGGGCCCCGGAACCCTCCAGAATCACTGTGGGAAGCAAGCAGTACAAGTAGGACTCCACCTTTGCCATCAACTTACCTGAGTTATTTCTGTCATCTATGTATCTGTGATCATCAGCTGCATCAGGTGACTGGAAAAGAACAAAATACATGAGCATCTACAGCTGTTACACTAGTGCCAGGTGAATGCCTGGCCTGCAGCCTCCCAACATGCTGCAGAGGACCCTTCCCACTCAAAGCTTTGGTGACACAGCAGCTGGGCACAGGATCACACACCAATCCTCCATGGTACAGCCAGGTAGCCGCTTGCTTGGATTGTAGCCCAACAGAATTGTCCTCTTAGTACTTATAGGTGGGCAGGGAGGGTGCACAAAGGAAGTGACAGGAAAAGCAGAAAGAAGAAAGGGAGCAGAAACACAAGAGCCAGGACATGAAAACTCTACACTTCTTCGACAGCCCTGGATCCTAATTGTGCCCATGCAGCGTTTCCAGGCCTAGCTCCATGAGCAGGGGCTTTCCTCAGTGTTTGGCTGTGCAGAGAACTCGCGTGGGCTTGCAGCCTACCAGGGAGGCAACATCCTTTGAGACAGCTTTGGAGAGAGGCTGAAGTGGTAATTAGGAAACTCCACCACTTTCTACTAACTTAATAGCTGCTGCCTTCACAAACTGGAGACTACTCCCAACAATCACAGCTGTGATGTTGTGACCAGAGTTTTAACATGGTCATGAACTTGAGGTGGATTGAGAATCAGCTCTACTGTGGAGACAGTTATAAATGTTCCGAGTTCTTGTTGTAGGTCAAACAACTCTATTAAGGTCCTCTGTTTACCACAAAAATGACTGCATTTATGTCTTGTACCATCCAGGTTTGTACACAATATTTATGCTGAGGAGCTAAACACTTCTCTGAGTTATACAAACACAGGGATAGGATTTCAGAAGAGCTCAGTATCCAAATCTAATAATGCCAAACTATTTTGAAAGTTCTCGTCACTGCTGAGCAACATCTGTTTGTTTGGGATCTTCTCCTTAGCTCAAGAACAGCACAAGTGCAATTTCAAACTGCAGGATAAAAGATGACAGCTCTGTGGACTTATATGGAAAGCACTGCAAAAGTTGCACAGCTGTGAGAATTCCAAGGCGCATTCATCTCCATATAAGCTTTGTCAGTTTTGTGCAAACCAGTAAGGCAGGAAGGAAGGGGAGCTGATCTCAGACTATTTAGTCCTTAGAAATAAAGCCATGGCGTGGTAAGAGCCACGCTCTCCACGGAGAGCAGAGCACAGGGGACAGTTATGATTTTGGCACGTACTGCTGAGGAGCTTAAGCAGGTCAAAGCCTAACATGGCAATGCTGCTAGATATCCCTGCAAAACACAACGTAACCCCAGCTATCTAACATTACCACTTCTTTGTCTTCATAGTTAAAAAGAAAAAAAAAAAAAAGTATTATGAATGCAAAGTGTCTCCTCAGATCAACTGTCACAAATGCAATCAGTTAATGACAGACCCAGACAAATAAGAGGTATATCACAGGAATGAACAGCACCTTAAATGAAATGAGTTTTTCCCCAAGAACCTGGCCAAGGCGCTTGCCTGGCAGGTGTGTGGGTGCTCTCTTCACATGATTACTCCTTAATTCAGCTACAGCAGAGTTACCACGATTGGCAGTTGTCAGCACAGCTCTTTCTTTGGCAGGATGCTGGATACGCTCTAGGTTAAAACTGAATTTGCTCCAATTTGAAACTTGTTGGCAATCAAACGGTTTTGTAGATTTTTGCCCCTTTTAATTCTCATTTTTCACTTTAATATGTTTCCGAATCAATTGATTGCCTCTAGAAGTTTGTCAGGGTTGCCATGGGGTCGCATCATGTCCAAGTGTGGTGACCTTAAAAACACTGAGAAATGATGCTCTAAGGTGAAGATGGAGCTGCTTTATATTTGCAAAGGCTTTTTTGCAAAGGTTTTAAAACCATCTGGATCAATTGTATCACAATCCCACTTCAATGAAGCCTTCAGGAATAACTGAATTATATAGCGTGGCTGGTGATCATTGCCTCCCACACTGACAGAGCCTCTGAAGAGGACTTCAAGTGGTCCACCCCAGGTCCTCACTGCATTTGCAGGCACTACCACCAAATCAGGCTCTAACCAATCTAGCGGCTGGCAGGAATTCAGCATGCAGTTTATACCTGGATTTCGTACACAGGTTTGGAAGAAGGGATGGCAGCAAACTCCCGGTAGTCAAACTTCTTTTCGGACAGGGACTAGAAAGGACAGCAAGAGAGGACATAGAGAAGAAAGAGTAAGGGGAGAGGAACAGATGGAAGAACAGCAGCAAGCAGAGTGATTTATACAGAGACAAAAGCAGAGCGTCATTCTCAGTTAGTGCCAAGGCGTGCCTGGATACAGCCTCTGAAATGAAGCATCTCTGGGACATTGTCTTTTATCTCCTCTGGCATCAGGACAGGGGCACCAAGCTGCAGAGGAGGCATTACGTGCTCCAGCAAACGGCACACCAAGACAGGTAACGCCCCTGTCTTCATGGGAAAAATAGTGACAATATTCCTGACAGCGTTAGCAGAGCCGGAATTTCAGTCCAGAGTTGGCTCTATTGGGTGAGCTTAGGCAACGCTGTGCCCCCCTTGGTGCAGCTGTTTCCAATCTTCTGTTTGTCTGTCTTACTAATTTGGGAAGCTGTCTGCAACAATCCTCCTGCATTTATGTAGTGTCTAGACAAGCAAGATGCTGCTCTCAGCTGGACCTCTCGGTTTTATACTATGAAGAAACAAGCAGGTGAAATCTCTGGAATGAAAGGCTTTCTGAATGCAGAGATGGAGGAAAAGGATTGAGAAGAAAGGATATAAAATAAAATAAACCAGAATAAAACAGGGAAACAGAAACCAAACACAAACTCAATTGTTAAAATGGGGATGCTTCTAGCAATGGGCATGGCAGAGTTCCAAGCAAGATGCCCTCATCATCATTCTGCACATCATGCAAACAGACCCGTTTAAAGTATTTATGTAGGGATCCTGTGACCCAGATGTATGATCCATGCCCCAGGTCAGTGACTGACAAATCCCAAGATTATAGACAAAATAACAAAAGTAAGCAGAAGTATCTCATACCAGCCTTCCTGGAGAAGTGACATTCCTGGGACTGCAGTCTGCAAAATAAGATGTGAAAGCTCTAGTTAGTGAATGGCTATATTACACACAACACTTTCCCTGTCATTCAGCGACATTTAAGTGTAATAAAAGACTGTGCTCAGGAGAGACTGCCTCCTCGGCACAAGCGCCTCTTTCCTGCCCTGGAACAGCATCTCAGATCTTTAAGTCTCTTTTCTATAGGTCAGGACTATACCCTATGCTAAGAGGTGTCACATACCAAAAGGACCCTCTAGTCTAGGCAGAATGAAGAAACTTTCAACTGGTCTGTTTTCAATCACAAGAAAGCAGCTGAACTAGACAAGCGATAACTCTCGTTCCTCAGAGACAGGGGTACGGTACCTTCGAGCGGTGTTGGCGACGGCGTAGGAGCAGGTGAAGGTGACTCTGCCAGCTGCTCCAGAGTGCTGCGTTTTTTTCCCTCCTTGGATTTAGCAATAACCATTTGGGCTTTAAGAGCGTCCTGTTCAAGTGACTTCATCCTGCCTCAGGAAGAAGGGGTGGAGAGAAACATATATGACACATCAGTGTGTAGCAGCCAATCCCCACTCCTGTGGCAAGCAGACAGTCCACAGAGAAGAGGCTGAGCGCAGAAAGGTGAGATGAGCACAATGGCCCTTGGCTTCTGCAGGAAAGGAATGAACAGCTTGTCTTGCTGTCATCAGGCATTAGTGTCCCAAAACACACACAGTCAAGTGCCTTGAATAGGCAAAACCTAGAGCTAAGCACCAACCCCCTGAGAAGCTGTAGGGCTTTCTGGAGGTGTCCTACAAGATGGGAGAGCAACCCAGCTTAGGAAGGAGGAAGGTGAACAGCCTGGGAACAGTTTTCACGGGCTTTAGTCTCCTCCGTGCTCTCAGCGTGTTAACACTCTTCTGCCATGAGGAAAGAAGGAGCGATCTAGGAAAACGTGGGCTCTGCTCCCCGAACAGTGGACAGGCTCAGCACCCCTCCAAGTCACTCGCCTCGAGCTGACTGCCAGGGGCTGTGGGACCACAGCAAAATGAGAACCAACAGCCACACTACAATTTCGTCCTAGACGCAAGAGGACGCGTCTGAGAGCAGGGGCGCTCGGGGACTGTGGAACATGCAGCTGGCAGGAGGGGCTGTGCACACCTGGATTGGCTTCCTGACCCCAGGGTTCTGGAGACGTGACTCTGCCTTGGACTAGGCATCTGAGCTGGCCTGGCCCCAGGAGCAGCCGCCCACTGCCGGGACTGGTACAACTTCCTGGCCAGATCCTGCTCGTACTGTTTAATACTGTCTTCAAGAGCTGAGGATCTGAGAATGAGGAGCAGAAAGGGAAGGAGGAAGAAGAGGAGGAGAAAGAGGAAAAGGAGATGATGGTGATGAACATCATAGCAGACTAGCGCAGGGAAAGAAAGAAACAGATCAGGAACATACCCTGGTGAGAAAAAATACATGTCTGATAGAGGGGTAGCCTTGATGAAAACAGGCTCCTATATCTGATCCTGTCCAACAACAATGCTGCAGAAGAAGCCAAAGTCTCTAGAGGGCAATCTGAGCTGGCAGGCCAGAGGCGTTGGCCTTTAGAGCCTCAGCATCTAGGGACTGCCCTGCTCGAGCGCTGGGACACGAAGACGAGCAAGGGCCCAGCTGGCCAACAGAAAGAGCCCAGCAGCAGTTGCAAAGAATTATGTGTGAGTGCACATGTGAAGCTGACCTGAGCACGAGGCAGGATTCTCTGGGTGTGCACATGCACTTGGACAGCAGCTAGTGCACAGCTGCATACCCCTGTTTGTGACCATCTGTGAGCATGCGCCCTTTCTTGGCCATGAGAAAAAGGGATGTAAAATGGACAACTGCACCAGGAGAGATGTATTTGCCACGGGGCCTGGGACACACGCGATGATTGAGCGTTGAAAGCGTAATTCATGAAAGAGTATTTGCATGTTGGGCGTGCAGCCCTTTCTAGACCCTTGCTGTCCCACCTGCATACGCCTTTACCCTCTCCATCCTCCTCCTCCCATGGCACGAATTCCAGCAGCTGTGTGTGCGCAGACCACTCATGTAGCATGGGCCCCACCGTGCTTGTCCCAGCAGAGCACGCAGTGGGGCACGTGGCCGGGCAAGGCACTGGTGACTGAGCACACAAAAGGAAAGCCCGGGAACATGCAAACAGATGGGGTCATGCAGACCAGGGAAATGCAAAAAAATCAGAAAAGAGAAGATTAGAAAGTAAAGTCTGTGGCATGCACTTAAAGAGAGCACAGGTTAGTGAAGCTGCAGCACCAGATGCAGGACAACCCAAGTCCTCCCTCCCACAGGCACTGCTGGGGCTCCCTGGCGCCTAGTGCAGAGCCCGGCTGCCTGGCACGTCCCAGCTGAGCAGACAGGCCAGGACGAGGTGCCCACGCTGCGGATGGGAGGTGGCAGGGACAGCCCAGCACACACGGAGCTCAGGCGCCCACCCCTGGCCTACAGAAAGGAGCTGTCATGGTGGGGACTGCTTGCCTTGGGCCAATGCCAAAATAAGCAAGGCATTAGCCCTACCCAAGGAACCAGCCAGGCCCTTCTTGAGAGCTGAGGACAGAGCGATGCCTTGGAGGGTTTGGAACATGGAGATTTCCGTTCCACACGCAGCAGCCAGACCGCTGCGCTCCGTACTCCCTAATCTCCCTAACAGCGCAAGGCAAAACTTCTGTTGTGTCCTGAGGAGTTCCAGCAAATGCCCAGCTGATCCAGATGACAGGCAGGTGTATAGTGTTGGCACAAGAGTCAATAATGTTCGCATTAAAAAAATGCTGCAGTATTTTTCAGCATCAGAAGCTGTTCTGGGGGCAATAGCAGCAAGCTCTGCTAAGAGCACAGTGTCTGAGGCAGCTGGTGCACGTGCTGTGACCCACGAGCAGTGTCCTCACAGTTACATTGTGTTCAGAGGTTTGCATTATGGGCAATGTCATGGTCTTCCATTCTGTATCTTAAACAAATCTTTCCGTCTTTCTGTTACTTCTCAAAGCACAGTCCTGTTGATTTTCAGGCAGAGCACTCTAAAAGACAACTTCTGTTTCATTAGGGCAAATACAACAAAGAAGGACTTTTTGGGTGCAAAGCCTGAGCAGCCACTTAGGCTGGATGCTTACTCCTTTGTGGTGCTTATGCATCACGTGGAACTTCAGCATTTACGAGTTAATGCTCACGGCCTCCCTGTGAGGCAGAGAACTGCTGCTACACTCAGCTCACGGCTGCATCTACGAGAGAGGGTGACCTGCCCAGGGCCAGAAGGAACTGCAGGGCAGAGTAAGAATCTGCACCTGGTCAGCCCAGCCTCAGCCCTGCCTCTCCTGAGCAATGGCTTGTGAGCACATTAGCTCTCCAACTTGGAGCCCTACAATGCAAGGATGGTGCCTCTATTCCAGTAAGAGCAGATCACAAATTCTTTTCCATTTATCGAGGTTTTGTGAAAAGGTTGTTCCTCAAAGTAATACTTTGGTTATTGGTTCTGTGCGAGCTCTCAGCCAAATCATAGTTTACATAATAATAATCATTTAGTATGTCAAATATGTACTTTCACTATTTTTTCCCCAGTTTTTGAGTTAGATTTTCCCTCTTGGCTGCTTTATAGGACTTGTTTTTGAATATTTTTAAAAAGCTACATGAGAATCCATTCTATTTAGAAAATATACTGTAAATAATATAAAAAAATTACATGTCCTATGAAAAATAGGAAATAAAGTCTTTGCTTTATAAGAAAATACAAAACTTCATTTGTAAAGGATGCTACCTGAAAAAGCAGGCTTGATTTCAAAGGTGTATTAAGCATGTTATAAGAAGAAAGAACTCAAATCTTCTCTGAATTCTGATTCATACAACAGAGAGGCTTTCCAGGGAGCTGTTCAGTTTTCCGACCGCACAGGGCAGCGCAGTGAAATGCAGGCAAGTGCTTCCCAAAAACTTCCCACCGAGACACAGATTTGGCTGGGGACTCCTTCAAGACAAAGGAGTTGGAGCACACCAAAAATGCTTTTCCTCAAGGGCAAGAGCTTTGGTGCTGGGAACATTTGTTCAATCCAGCTCTAAATAAACCACAAACTGATGCATTTTATGATCGTCAAATAACAACAGGGCCCTTTATACTCTCAGAGCTCTAGATAATTTGTCAGCTCTCACTATTGAGGGCTGCACCATTCATTTCTTCATCCTCAGAGCCTGCTCAGGAGGGGACAGCACCATCATCATCCCTGTCTGGGCACAAACACTGGAACTGTAGGGTGGGATCACAATGCCATCTACCTCAGGACAGGGTCTCATCTCACAGGGTGGCAAGGACCTCTCTCCAGCAGCCCTGTTCCTCTGAAGGTCTCGTTCAAACTCAAAAGGTTTCAGTTTACCCTCTTAATAACTTCCTACAGAATGCTCGGGGAAAAGAACTAAGTAGTTTTAGGAGTAGCTTGCCCACTTTTTAAAAGGAATTATGTGATGCAGTAAAGGCCTGGACTAGCTTCTAGTCTTAAGTTCTGCGGTAGGAAATCCTCTCTCCCCAGACAACTGTTTAATAATATGCTTGCAACTGATGAAGCAGCTGGATAAAATTACCCAAGTCTTACTAACTTCTTGGATTCAGCAAGTTTTCCAGACCAGCAACCCCAAATATAAGAAATGCTCATTCCTTTTTTCATTTTTTAATCTGTTGTGTTGCAGCTTCACTAAATATCATCTTCACATGCTACAAAAGAGGTGAGGAGCTCTGTGCCAAGAGGAAATGGATATATTCACCACCATATAAGTGCGTTTGAGTCATATTTTTTTTTTTATAAAACTCCATTGTCCTCAAGCTAGTGCAAGACACTGCCAGCCAGCGGGTGCTTTGCACTTTTTGGACAGAAGCAACATCCTGCTCTAACCCACCCTCTTCCTAAGACAGGTATGTACTCTGATTCAGAAAGACGGACAGCAGCTCCCTTTTTTTGGGACTAGCCTACTGAGGAGGATGGGGAAGGTCCTTCTGTCTCACCGTGCTGCCCTCCACATGGCCCGTTTCTCTGCCTCCAGCGCACGGCGCTCTGCTGGAGAAAGCTCCTTCTCCTGGCTGCTCAGGAGCTCAGGACTCTGCATCCGCAGCCGCTCTTGGTGACGCCGTTCAGCTTTGGCTGTCCTCACAGGTGCCACCGGATCCCCTGCTCCAAGATACACTGGACTCAACCTGGAGAGAGAGGGAAGCCATGAGAGAGGCTGACCTGCTCCCCCACAACTCCTTCTGCCTGTTCTTCTCAGGATAGAGGTGATGACCACCACTCCCAATCAACTGTCCTCTACCACATCCAGCTTCAAGGACAACATCTGGGAAGGTGGAAAGACACAGAACAAAAGTCGGTTACTCCTAGAAGGATGGTTCCAAGCAGTTTTCTCCTTTGCACTAAATCCTTCCTTTCACTCCCCATATCTGCGGAAAAGCAGAAGTTGTTGCTTCATCACCTGGCAGTTCTTAGGAAAGGACATTGCTGATCTACCTACCCAGACACAGAGTTGGTTCTTTGTTCTGACTTCATTCCCTCTTCCAGCGAATTCCTCTGGGAGCTGCTGTTCTCACTGGCTTCAGAGAGTCTAGAAGAAAACAAGCATGTCAGCTAATGGTACTAGAGACTGCCAAACCGGGGCAAGTGCAGAACAGATCCAAGCCCCACGAATCAACAACTAGTTCAGTTTGCAGACACGGTTTTTGACATACTTGAGGTTTTGTTCAATGGGTCTGTTTACACTACTGCAAGTGTTTCCTTGTCAGCCTCACACATCTCAAGCTCTCTCTCCCTAACCTCAGAATTCATTTTCTCCATTCAGAGGTCAGCCATGCCCCCTGCACTCACACACACATGCTTACTGCACTGTACTTGCTGGCCAGTTCCTACACGCCTCCAGCCTTGTCCCTCCCAGCACACAGCCTGTCTGCTCCTGCTCTCCCTTCGTCAGTGCCATCTGATGAATGGTAACAAAAGGGCTTGTAAATGAATGCAAGCCCAGGGTAAGGACAAATCCCGAGCGATCCCCTGGCATTGATTCACAGGGTTGTCACTCCATGCACAATTGAGGATTTACACTCCGGTTACTGTACACACCAGCTCAACTGAACTGCAGTTACTGTTTGCGCTCATAAGTTGTGGAACATGCAGCCACTAGCCAGTTTGACTTGGAATGAAAGATCCTACAAACCCACAGTGCCTGTTTTCCACAGGTCAGGGAGATGTGCTGTAGCACTGCTGGCAGTGAGGACGTTTATCATGAAATGAAGCCCTTACTTCTACTGTTCGAATTTATGTTGCTTTAATCCCAGTTTCTGTTCTAGTATTGAAAAAAAAAAAACACACAAATTCAATCTATCTCCCTACCTCTCTTTCATCTGAATATAAATAATACGCAAGTGACACTCTTACACCAGCAGTTGCTTATTCTTAAACAGGTAAATGCTGGTAGTTGCTGGAGGCCTGACCCTCAGGGCCTTTCCCTGATAAATCCACTGCTGTCTGGGCAATGCAATCGGACGGAGTCAAACAGAGCGCTCACTAACCCCCCAGGTTTCATTACGCAAAAGGCAGGGATAGAGAGGCCTTCACATCAAACCAAGCTGCTGGTTTACATTTGGCTGCTGCCTTTCTTTAGGTTTGAAAAGTAATGAGCTAAGGGCAGCACAGGAGGGAGGTCTAACTGTATTAATCTTGTGAGAAATTCCTCAACACAAACAAGACAGAAATAGAGAGAAACGATTCAAAATGACAGGAAGAGCATTTTCAGCTACTGCAAGATGGGCAATGAGACTGTTTGTTTCATAGACTCAGAAGAGAGTCAAACAAAGGCAAGACCAAAAGCAGTAGCTTCAGCTTAATCTACCACAGCATTATTTTTATCTGAGAACTGAGTTCTCATTCCCCAGCTGTATAGCCAAGAATAAGAAAAAAACTTCAAGGCAACCTGGAGAATAAGTCCAGGGGAACCCGGAAAAAAAGAGCCTAAGAAAGCAAAGCTGGGGTAGGTTCAGCACCAGAGCCTATCCTGAGCTGGCCATCTCCACAGACTAGTGCTCTATATACTCCGGTCCAGAATTGAAGGAGCTGTTCTACCAAGGAGAGAGAGTTGGGAAAAACTCCATGTTGCTCATTTCTGTCTCCAAGGGGAGATGGCCAGCCCTCTTCCCCCCACATTACTCATGTTTATGCCATTCAGGAACACAGGTCTGGCACAGAGATGGCAGTCAGTCTTACCGAGCTGCTGGGGCCTGGGGGCTCCTTCCATTTAGCCTCTCAATCTTGTACTCAATTCCCTCGATGATGACACTGGACTGCAGGCTCATATCGGGTGCCTGTTTTACCATCTCATCCTCTTCTCCTTCTTCTTCCAAGAGAAGGGCACGTTTCTGCTGCAGTTTTCGGGCTGCCAGAATAACATAGGCTCATCTTAGAGTACCAAGTGCTCACTACACACCATGGGATGCAACCTCTGGGCAGGTACTTAGACTTAGTACCCCTGCAGATTTCTGCTGTTCAGAATATATAACCTCTCCACACATACACTTTTCTCCTCCACTCCATTAATGCTTCAAATATGTAATAAGTTCTGCCCCTTCCATCAATCTCTTCTTCCTTATTCACTAAACTTTTTTTCCCCCTTCTACAATTCTCTGCAGTTATAATTTCAAAGACTTTCACTTCTCAGCATTACTGCACACTCTACAGAATAAAAGTTTCCAACAGCCCTGCATGCTGAGTTTGTTTATCCCCAAACTGGAAGTAGCAGGCAGTCCATCCTTCCCCAGGATGGAAGGCCCTAAGGATCTGCATACCTGTGCTGTGCCTGACATTCCCATCTGCCTCCTTGAAGGAATACAGCCTGGAGGACCAGTGACAGGGCCCGACCAACAGCACTGAACCAGTGGGACTTGTCAGTTGGTCAGATACACAAGTCACAAGAGGATGAAAGACAAAAAGGGCCAGTGAGCAGGCTGTTCTCTGCAGATTCTTACAAGCACAAGGTATTCTGACCTGTCCAACAAAACTGCAAAGCAATTACACTGCTTATTCCATTCCCTTAGAAGCTTTTAGATACACAGAATGGCTAAGCTTGGAAGGGACCTCTGGAGATCATCTGGTCCAATGCCTTTGCTCAAGCAGGGACGCCTACAGCATGTTGTCCAGGACCATTTTGAGACAGCACCTTCAGCATGCAAGTACTTCAAGCCATCACCAAGCCTTATTAGCAAACACTCATTGGCTTTTGGAGCTGTTGGATGCCTGTTGTGTGCCCTCTCACTGGCCTTCCTTGGAGGAGGAATTCACTGGAATAGGCAAAATTTCCTTACACAGATTCTCACATACCTTCCTCTTCCTTCATCTTCTTCAGGTCATCCTCTCCTACCAAGGAGACGCGCTTCGGAGGCTTATCCATCTGCTGCTGCTTCACCTCGATCTCAAAATACTTCTGTCTCTCACGGAAGGAGCGCTGCTCCGGGCTGTGCAGCCCGCTCGGCCACGGCCCCTGGGACAGCCACACCAGGCACGTGTCTATGCGACCGGAGACCCACATCCCCCTCGCCACATCCCCCCCAAATGAGTGTCTCACCCCAGCCACCAGACACGTCCCCAACACCCACATGCTCTCCCTCCTCCCCAGCCATCCCTGCACGCCTATATCATGATCCCCTTTCCATGCCTGAATAGCAGGAGTCCCCATCTCATTTCCAGTTCTGCCACTCGGACTCACCTCCTGGGCACTTTTGGGTTTCTCTGTGCTGGTCTGACCAGGCAATTCCTACAGATACAGAGAAGTAGGCATGTTCTAAAAAGACAGTTTCCTTCCACCACTTTTTCTTTCTCTCTTCTGGCCCCCCACCCCTTTAAGGCTTCTCTCCCTCAAGCTGAGCACTCCAGGTGCAGCCTCTCCAGAGCTGAGCAGAAGGGCAGGATCCCCCGCCTCGACCTGCTGCCAACGCTCTGCCCAATGCAGCCCAGGCCACCACTGGCCTTCCTGGCCACACAGGCACAATGATGATGCATGGTCACCTTGCTTAACATTTTCATTGCCAAAATTGACTCTGAAACCAGAATGGTATGAATAAAACTTGTGAATAGCGAAGGCCAAAGGGCAAATGCAGAGTTTACAGAATTCCCTGGAAGTTGTTTCATTCATCCCAGTCTAGTGAATGAGGACAAGCACTTTAAAAATTTAATCTACTTAAAATGGCCAAAAAAAACCCCTTTGAAATGCAGACAGAGTTGTCAGTCATTTCAATTGACCAAACCAGCTCACCAAAAGCCCACAAGGGCAGGACAAGGCAGACAGGAGCACAGGGTTACCTCAGACAGAATAAGCAGTTGTGATTGCAAAGCAACCTTAGCTCCAAGTATAATGGGACCATGAAAAGAATGAGCCTGACCTACCAACAGATAAGCAAATGTCTTGTCAATAAAGAGAAAGAGAGAGAAACAGAGAGGGGGGAAGAGAGGGTGAGGGGGGGAAAGGGGGATGGGGGGAGAGAGAGAGAGAGAGAGAGAACCACATGAGAATGACTCCCCATCAATAGGGGGTTTCGTTTGCCTTAAGATGTGCCAGAAAGAGCACTGAGAAGAAAAGGTGAGAGAAAAGCTAGCAAGGGGATCAAGAGAACAGAGAGTCTTTTCAAACATAAGCAGAAAAAAGAGACAGTGTTTTGCTTATTTAAAGTAGTAAGTGAAGTAGTGGTATGGTTGTTGATAAACATGCAGTTTCAGAGCGCTCATGTAACTGGGGTGCTGCCATGGATGGAGACGAGTTCCTCAGGAAGGACAGGGAGGGAAGTTCATTCTTGCCTCCAGCTGCTTAGGGGGTTACAGAGAGCACGAGGTCAGACTCTTCTCACAGATGAGAGGCAACAGCCACATGTGGCAGCAAAGGAAATCCTGATAAAATACATGGAGAAAACTCCTCACAGGAGCAGTGATCAGACACTGAAGTGGGGTGTCCATCGAGAGCACAGAATCTCAATTTTTGGAGACATTAAAAACTCAGGTGCAACAAGCCTGAGGAATCTGATACAACTTCCAAGGTGGCCCTATTCTGCATGGAGGACTGGAGCAGATGACATCCAGCGGTCTCATCTAGCCTAAATGCTTCTGTTTAAATACTTGGAGGGGTGAGGGAGAAGACAGGATAATTCTGATTAAGTTAAAGCACAGAAGTTGACCAAAAATAAAATAAAATAAAATCCTGAGAACAATATTAGCCTGGCCTTGGAGCCAGGAGTTTCAGAAAATTTCTATGTATCAGGATAGGAAGTTTATGCAAAAGAATTGTAATATCCTGAAGGACTAACAGGGACATGAAATTTTATTAGAACTTTAAATATTTATTAATAGAATTCAGCAGAGTGGCCACCTGCTACTTGAGTAGACACCCAAGTCCCCCATATGTCCCTCTCATGGCAGCTTTCTTTGGTGGAAACAAATTACTACCTCCTTCCTACCCTTCTGCTTCCCTTGCTCATTCATAATGTTGCCCTGCTCCATGGCTCATGTGAAACTGCAGCCACCCTCCCCCAGTACCTGTGTCTCAAGCAGAGGATGTGACAAGGGCACTGCTGCAAAGGTCTTGTATGCCTGCTTGACGTTGAAGGGGATCTCGTCAGGAGAAGGTGGTGAAGGTGGCTTTGGCTGCAAGGACGAAGAAAAAAATGCAAAAATAACCACAGATGTCATCTAAAAGAGGACACGGGGGAAACAATACACCATCAGCCTGCAAAGTCTGAAGAATGTGCAAGGGGCAGTTCCTGCAGCCTTGTGAGGGTGCGAGCAGCCTCTCAGCAGCGCGTTGCTCCATCTGATACAGAGCAGCACACGCGTTTCCATGGAACCCACATCCATGTTTCCTTGCCTGGTGGAGGAGGAATGATAGCTCTGGTGCTACAGAGCCTCACTGATCCGACCAGAATTTTGTGGCTGACCTCCTGGTCAAGGGGACACGTTGCTGTCCACCTCCTCAAGGGTTTTTCCCAATTCAGCTACCATGTATCTGCAACCATGGACTTGGGTCTGCAACAGGGGAGCTCTTGATTCTTTACTCCGATGCCTACTTATGACTTAAATGTGAACAAGGCAGATTTAAGTTACTGCAGCATGAAAGATCACAGAAAGATAAGCTTCACATGGCCATTTCTGATACAGGGATCTTCCTCACGAGGGATCTATTGGTCTCACTGTATTTTATTTTTGAGGAGACATATTTCTGTTTATAAAACTACCAGCATATCCCTCTACATATTTCAAGTCACAGCTGCCTACACCAAAACAGCATCCCCTTCAGGGCCCTATAATCTGGAGAAAACTTACCTTTGAACTTAAAATTTCCCCTTTATAGAATTTCACTTATTCTGAGTAACATCTGATGAGGTCCAACAGGACCTTCCTACTGGACGCTCATCTGTGCTGTGCTTTTCTTCCCCTGTCTCTCCTATGATCCTCCTGCTCCACCCTGTCATATCTTAGAAGTGGCTTCACAAAAATGCACAGTGGCAGGGGGAATTACACCATCTCCTTCCTTTCCACTACAAATCAAATCCCCTCTAGTTACTTCAGTTACTGTCTCAGCCTCTGATGACTGCAGTACTTCTTCCTGGATGAAGGCTAAATTTTGTGGCTTGATGATGTTCCCTACTGCCTAGGCTGAAGAGCAGCACATCAAGATTAAGAGATTCTAAATATGTGAATTTTGCCCTATTACACACATCAGATACAGCTTTTTGTCTGTTTTTGTCTGCAAACTAGGTCTCTAATTTGGCACTGCATCACATAGGCATCAATAAAATGAGAAGGGCTACATTAGAGGTATACAAGCCTTCTGACATGGCATTTATAACCAAGACAAAGACTGAAATACCTGATTCTTTCTCTCCCACCAACTTATAATCCTGAACACATGAATCTTTCAAAAAAAAATTCAATAATTTTGCAAATAACAAAACTTGATAGCAGCAGGATGGTACTGGCTTTTGCTCCAAGACGCAAGACACGAAGGTTCTGAAAGGTCTATACAGCAGAATGTAGCACCTAATCTGTAAATAAGGATATAAAACTGCAGCTGCTTGGCAGATTTCAGCCACAGCCCATCTGCAACAACATGAAGTTCCTGAGTGGACAGGCAAAGGCACTAGGCAGGCTGCTAGAAAACTGCAGCTGACCAGGACTCAGCATCTCAGGAGTTTGGCTTCTTCACTGAGGCATCTAGCCCGGGCCGAAGCCACGAACAGGGGCGCACGGGATCTTTATCTTACAAGGAGGTGTGTTCACAGAATCCCAGAATGGTTGAGGTTGGAAGGGACCTTTAGAGACCATCTGGTCCAACCCCCTGCTCCAGCAAGGGCACCCAGAGCATGGGGTCCTTCGGGTCCTCCCTGGCACCTCCCCCGCTCTCCATGACCTCTCAAAAATGATGGGGAGTGGCTGAGCAGTGACCCCTGCCAGTTCCCTCAGCACTCCTGGGTACATCCCATCCAGGCCCATGGATTTATGAGTGTCCAGTTTGCCTAAGTAATCCCTAACCCAATCCTCCTCGACCAGCGGAATGTCCTCCTCTCTCCTGGTTCTCTCTCTTGTCTCCAGGCTCAGTACATGGGGACTGGCCCTAGCACTGAAGACTGAGGCAAAGAAGTAACTCTGCCTTCTCTGCATCCTCTGCCACCAAGGCACCTTCCCCATTCAGCAGCGAACTAACATTTTCCCTAGTCTTCCTCTTGCTGCTGATGTATTTGTAGAAGCCCTTCCTGTTGCCCCTGACATCTCTCGCTAACTCTAATTCTAAATGGGCCTTGGCCTTCCTCGTTGCATCCCTGCATTCTGTGACAATGTTCCTATATTCTTCCCATGTGGCCTGGCCCTTCTTCCACATTAGATATGTGCTCTTTTCCTCATCGAGTTTACCCAACAGTTCCTTGCCCATCCATGCAGGTCTCCTGCCTGCCTTGCTTGACTTCTTTCTTATAGGAATGGGCATCCAGCCCACCTGCCAGAAAGAAAGCAGCCATGTACAGCCCAGGACACACAGACGTAGCTTAGCAAGGAGGAGGCGCAGGCCACTTACGGAGTTCTGGACACCAGCGCACGGCTCCTGCTGCTGGAAGGGGTTGGGGCTGTCCCCATCCTCCACGCTGCGCGGGGCTGTGTTGGGTCGCACTCGCGAGAGGGGCTGGATGACGCCTGGTTTGGTCTGCTCGTGCCGCCACCGCACGGAGGGCAGGAAGGCAGGGGGAGGGAAGAGAAAGACAAGAGACATGAGCAGTTAGGGCAGCACATGGCTCTGAGGTGCAAGTGAGCAAGGCAGATCCATGCATCTGAGCTCTATTCCTCACGCTGCTGACTCCATCTCCCAGCCTGGCAGTGAGAGCTACTAGAGCAAACCGCAGGCAGTGCCTCTGCTGGCAGTATTCTGGACAAGCAGAGATGCAGACTAGCTGGGGTAAAGACGGGTAAGCCCAGGACACAAGAAGCTGCTGTAACTGCAGGCAGCTGCAAGCGTCAGAGGGATATGGCACGAACATATGAACACGGTGGGGTCTGGGAGAGTTCAAGCATCATGAACAGCAGATGCGGCTGGAGGCAGCGGGGACTGGCAAAAGCCTGGGGTGCAGCTGAACTGAGCTCCGTTAAAAACACAAACACAGGCAGGAGCGAGGAGCAGGGATGAGTGCCTGAGGCTTGAGCTGGGTGCCACCACCTATGGGTGCTGTGTGCATGAACAGAACATCAGATAACAGGGAGTGGGGGGAAGGCACTGAGTGAGCCAGCAGAAACTGCGCAAGTGAAAGCTGCAAGCATAGGCAGGAATAAAAGCTGCAAAACTACTCACATCAAGCTTTAAAATGAAGAAAATTGAAGGCTTAATGCATTGTACAAACTTCAGGTGGGTTAAAGAAACGAGTGCTAGAGCCAACAGTGAGGCTTGCAAGCTGGAAGCGAGCACACACCGATGAGGGAGGCAAGCTCTGAAGGCAGGGGAAGGCACAGGGGCACAACAGGAAGATCTCGTGGCCGGGGTACTTACTGATTTGTTGTCATCCTGCGATGCAATGAAATTAATGGAAGCCTAGAAACAGGAAAAAGGGTAAATGTGGAGTCCATACAGGAGCTCTCTCTCCCCTGCTCCACACAGGCAGACCACACGCAGCAGGCACAACTCTCCAAGCAACCACGGGCTCCTGCCTCACACAGGAAGCAGCAGGGAAGCGCCCCCAGCCTTCCCCTGCGCAGGGGAGCAGTGCAGAGCCCTCCCAGGTGGCAACGGATCCCGGCCTCCCGCTGTGCGCGGGGACACGGGCACGGCCACCTCCCCGCTCCCTTTTGCTGGGCCGGCCCTGGGTCGCCTCCCCTGCCCCTGCACTCACTGCCGAGCTCCAGCAAAGCGCCCACGCGCACGGCGGGCAGCACTGGCGGTGCCATCCCGCAGGCAGCAGGAG